CGGGGGAGGAACGAGGCCTCCTCTCCGACACTGACACAGCGAGCGTCCCCCTAGAAGAGGAAGAGAAGCCACGATCGTGGGTTGCCCCGGGGAGAGGTGGAAGAGACGCCCAAGTCCCTCAAGAAGGAAACCTGGTGGGCTCCCCAGGGTGAGGTGTCCTTACACAACTCACCTCTGCAGTGAGCACGTCTCCTGGGTGCTCTGGCCGCCTGCAGGCAGGGATGGGCTGAAACCTGCGGTGGCTCTGGGGATGGACACCACGAGCTGCAGCCACCGGTTCCCAGGGTGCAGCCCAGCAGCCAGCCCCTCGCCGAAACGCACTGGAGTGAAGGCGAGAGGCAGCTGGGAGATTCTGGTTGCCTGGGAGTAAGTCCCAAGCTTACGTGCAAAGCTGTGATGTCACAGTGCGTGGCTGAGGGATGTCACCATGGGCCACCCTCGCCTGCAGTGCTCGTCCCAGCCCACAGCTCAGGGCTCCCTGCAGTGCCACTGCCCGCTCCATCCCCTGGGTCTTCTGTTGTGGGCTCGGCACCGGCGCTTCAAGCCAGCCATCGAAGCCGTGGCTGTGGCTTTCCCCGGGCCCCTCGGGCCCAGGGCCCCATCGGGACACTCTGGCGTGGCATGAGGTGACACACATCACCATGCAAGAGAGTTCCTGGGGAGGCCACCAGAAGGAGCCCAGAGCTCTAGATGTGGTCTCACCACTGCTGAATCACTTGGAGGATCACCTCCCCCGAGCAATGCTTTGTCTAATGCAGCCCGGAGTGCCGTTAGCCCTCACCGGCACCTCATGTTCCACTTGGTGTCCACCAGGACTCCAGGTCTTTTTCTGCTAAGCTGCTTTCCCACTGGGTTGCTCCCAGCATCTGCTGGTGCTGGGGGTTGTTCCTCCCTTGGGGCAAAACTTCACACTTCTTGTGGAACTTCACAGGGTTCCTGTCAACCGATGTCTCCAGCCTGCCCAGGTTCCTCTAGATGCCAGCATGACCCCCTGACACACCAACCACACCTCCCAGTTTGGTATCATCAGCAAAAATTACCGAGAGTACACTCTGCCCCATCATCCAGATCATTAATGTTAAAACAGGACTGGACCCAGGACTCCCAGGCTTGACCTCTGGGGTACACAACAGGTCAGTGGCCACCAACCAGGCTTTGTGTCACCGATCACCTCCCTTTGGGCCCAACCATTCAGCCAGATTTCAATCCACTTCACTCTCTGCTCATCCAAAGCCAACAGCTCATGGGTTTAAAATCATTAAATCTGTGTTAAAATGACGGAGGGGATGAGCTGCATTTTCAAGTTTGTCTCTGCACCCAAAGCAGCTGAGAAATGGACTTAGGAAAATTGGCAGGTCGGTCATCGAGGGTGATTTGCGAGGAATCAGAAGCTTTAAACTGAAATGCCATGTTCCTTGAGACCAGCAAACCGCGAGCTTTGTAGTGGCTTTTCCTGCTTCAACCACAAACAAAAGTGACTGTCAAAGGTCCTGTCCCAGTGACAGGAGTAGAGCCTGCCAGCACCTCTGGGGCTGCTTGCTGATGGAGGCACCTGCAGAATAATTGTTTGCCAGAGGGATTTGTGTGAAAAAGTGCCTTTGAATGTTCCAGGCATCACCTTTGGTTTAAAAAAAAATAATAGTATTTCACTGAAATCTGCCCCAGCAGCCTCTGTTCAGCTGCACGCCAGGCTGGCTCGTGGCAAACGCTGGGGTCAGTCCCATCAAAATTAACCCGAAACCACTTGTGCTGGGAAAGCAGCGATCACTGGCTGCCACCACAGTGGGATTGACACGCAGGTCGCCAGGAACACCGGGCAGAGATGTGCTGCTTCTTGCCTGCACCACGGAGCAGCTGAGGGCATCCCTTGCCCAAACCCAACCCTGCTCTGGCCCCCACACGGCTGGAGAGGGCACAGGTCAAAGCCTGTGGAAAGGGAAAACAGAGGAGGAACAGCACCACGTGCCTCAGTTTCCCTCTCTGCCCTCATCTGCTGAGGATTTGTCATCCATCCTGAGGACAGAGAGCTGGGGATGGACTTCTCCCTCCA